AAATGCACATCAAAAGATAACCATTGGCAAAGATTTTTTAACTGATGGCTGGTGAGGATGTGGCAAGATTAGCACTCTAACATTATCATCTGCTGGTGGAAGTGTGAAGTACAGCCTTTCTGGAAAGTAGTTGGCAATATACTATGTATCAAGCCTTAAAAATGTAGTATTTGTGCTTTGACCCTGTCATTCCATAGCCAACGTGCATTTTAAGAATGTTCAGCATAGCATTATGTTTATCAGCAAAGTATTAGGAAAAACCTACATTTTTGGCCAACATTAAATGTATAAATTACAATGTCTGTATAATGTAGTATTGGGAGAATTATTAAAAATGACACTTTCACAGAATATTTAATTACATGGAAGAATATTCATAATATATGTGGAAAAAATAAGTAAATTAGTCTGTAGCTACAGTGTGATTTCTAGTTTTGTAAGATATGGAGAGAGAGAAGATAGAGAAAAAATGTTGAAATACATGGCAATGGAAAGGGTCTGTCTCCAATTGATAGGATTATGGGTGGACTTTTTTTTTCCTTCTTTGTACTTTCCTATATTTTCCGTGGCTTTACATTAGAATTACCTGGAGATCTTTTAAAAAATGCAGATCTCCAGGCTCCACTCACCAGAAGTTATGAATTAAATGGGTGGGGGGACAGGAATAGATACTTTGAAAAGAACTGCCTGGGTCTTTCTAATATTCTGGTTCAGATTCATAGCGCAGATTAAGGATAAGCATATTTTATATTCAGTTCTGAGGTATTTCTTTTGTTGTATAGAAATGCTTACCCACATAGTAAAGTGCTTTTATTTTCTAATTTAACACGTTGGGTTTTTATTTGTTATTGTTGTTGTCATTTTTAAGAACTGCTTTCTGAAGCGAGTTTCCAAGAAGCTCTGCAGGAAAGCATCCCTGGCATTCAGGCACACGAGTGGGTGCCCCTATGGCTGCTGCGGTACTCGGTCATCGTGAAAAGCAGAGGAATCATCAAATCAAAAGGCTACATCTTACAAGCTAAAAGAAGGGGCTCGTAGCTACGACTTAGGATCATAACCTACTGACTTGTATTTTCCTTTAATATCAGATAAAATTGAGATGTGTAAAAGTTTAATTACTGCCTGAAGGGGTGTCACTGGGGCAGGTCGTCTTTAATTACATTTGACAATATGTTGTCTGTCAAGTTTTAATACTTCTCTTGCCTCCATGTCAGTTCACTTAGATGAACCACTGTATTGTTTTCATTAAACTATTGTTTTCTAATTGAAATTGTCTATAAAGAAAATACTTGCAATATATTTTTCCTTTATTTTTATGAATAATAGAAATCAAGAAAATTTGTTGTTAAATATATTTTGGCCTAGGCATCAGGGTAATATATATATACATATTTTTGATTTCCAAAAAAATTCATTAATTGCTTCTGATTCTATAGTATAATAAAGCAACTTAGTTAGAATTGTTCAAACTGAAATACTGCAAGGTATTTTTCCTGTCATTGATAAGATGACTATATCTCGGAGTAACTGGAGTAGCTGGGATCTACTAATAGTGTTAATAAAATTCATTTCTTCAATACATGAATGGAAACTTAAATTTTTTTACGTGTCCTTGCTTGTAGTTTACCTGTAATGATTGAACCTGGTATTCTTGTGCCATATTTTCTCTTGCTGTTATTTATAAAGACAAACCAAAGTAAATCTGAAAAGGAGACTAGAAGCTTTGAAATTATTGTTTGGGGGTTTTTATAAAAGTAACTTTTACCACCTCCAGATGCTTTTTAATTCTTCATCCATCCTTAATATTTTGCTATTCATTGAAGAATATTCAATAAGTATTGAGCACTTACTATGTGCTGCGCACTGTGGGCTCTGGAGAGAGGACAGGGCACAGGGATTAAAAATCAGTTGAGTAAAACATGGGGTATTTGTTCCCCACTAATAACTGACTATGAGGGTCTAAAAGCCAGAAAAGGGGTGAAAAAAATCTTTAATTCAGGGCCATTGTTGTCTGTTTAGGTAATTTCATTTGAGATACAGTCTTAACTATTTAAAAGCAAAACAGTATAATCTAAACTTTAGAGCTAGAAGTGACTATAGATCATTTAGTATAATTCCTCTTTAGTTTAAGAACCAGAAAATAGCAAATAAATAAGCTGTGACCTTTAATATATACTATAGGTCTCCTTAATTCTATAAATTTGTATCTGTAACCCAAATAGTTTGAAAAATTCTTTAAAAAATCACTTGCATCTCAATCAATACTTTGAAATCATGTATCTTAATACATGGTTTATAAAACTAAACTAATTTTATATACATAAATTAATATATAAAACTAAGTTTGCTCGATTTTTTTCAACTTAGGGAAAAGAACTGTGGTTCCATATCCAAAATAAATACACTAGGCTCTTTTCCTATCCTAAGTAAGGTTTTGTGATTTACTGCTTGCATAATTTGATCATTAGAATTATAATTTGAAATCAGCTGATTTGCCTGTTAAAACTTGTTTAGACTTTGAGCTTCCTAAAGCCTGATAGAGCCTTTATATTAATTGTATGTAATGTTATTAAATGTATATAGTTAACTTTTTTATTTGGAAATGTACAACATTTTTCATATAACATAAGTCTTTAAACAAATGCTCATTTTAATTTAAGCCTCTACAGGAATTAGTCAAGATATTTTAAGAGGAAACTTTAATATCACATTTATTGTTTTTTAAAACACTAGACTTAGAAAAATAGATTGAAGGTTTATTTTGAAAATGGAAAAAAAGCTTATGTTGCTAATGTATCCAAACTTCAGCAAGAGCTTTACTGTGTGCTTTTTCCCCCGCTCTTGACAAAGACGCCAGATTATAGATTCGTTTTGTGAAGGGGATCATGTATGGAATTTTTAGATGAGTGTTTTGTTTTTTTCACTTCTGTACCTTTAATTTCTGTTACTGAATAACCTTTTTTGAAAAATTGATTTTTTTCTAAGACTGTAATTTTCCAAGCTGATGTTCACATCTTTTTTTTCCATGACCTATCAGAATATAGTGAATACTTTTCAGATATTGAAGGACTTAATGTTTAAAAAGCCATAAAATAAAGAGCGGTAATACTACCAAATAATTGCTTAAAGAATTGCTTAAAGTTGAAAGCTTAGTTATCAATAGTGTATATAACATATGTTTTCTAAGCAGATGTGTATCCAGTGACCCAAGGTAGAAAGAATTTATATAATTGTTTTTTTCCAGTAAACATGAAAAGAAGCTGCAACTTGTTATTACATTTCCAAAATACACTGGAGCCTTACTTTAACACAACGTACTGTAACTTGGAATTCCCATCCAGGAAACTGTAGTCACCAGAAGAACCAAGGTGTCTTATAAAATATGTTCATGTGGTGTAAATTCCAAAGACCACATCGTGCCGGTGTACTAATCGAGTACCCGTGCCAAGATGGCCGGCGCTAGAACTCGGATCACAAATAATAGCTAAGAATTTTTCTTTTTCTTTTCTCAAAAAAGACTATTTAGACGGCTGTGTGTGAAATGGGAAATAAAGTTATTCTGTTTTGAATGAATGGTTTAGACTTTTCCCTACCAGAGCCAAGTAGTAACTGAAATAGGATCTTGATTTTCAGTGACAAAAGGTTTAAGGCTCAATTATGTCTCTTTTGTACAACAGATTTTCTTTCTAATTTTCCACCTAGCATTTTTAATATTTGGGAATGTAAGCAATTGATATATTTATTGTATATTGGCCAACAGTTCATCTTTCTGCCAAATGTATATTTAGAGAAATTTGAAGTTCTTTTAATGAGAATTTAAACCATTTGTGTTTTCATGCTCAAATATACCAACATATGATTCTAAGTCTATTTTTTTTAGAGTTCCTAATGTACCAGAACTTGTACATGTCATTTTCCCATAAAGTTGGTGATAGATGTCAGTTTTATTTTTGAAAAATATGTAACATAACTTGCATTAATATTTTTTATGGTTTTCAGAATTAGAAATACACTTAGAAGGGGAAATGTTTTAATTAGATAACTCTACTTTTATGTGTATGTAGTAGTATAGTATAAAATAAAGGCAAAATATAAAACATTAAATATTTATAATAGTTTTTTAATTTTATCTCTATTATGAATTTAATTAAAATAAAGTGTGAGTTGTATATTTCTTCATTGAGTTGTTTCAATAGTTGCAAGCATCCTGGAACATTATATTGATTTTGAACTATTTGAACTCAAACTGAATAGGATTTGAAAATAAATTGTGAATAATTTTTAAATATCCAAGCCATAAAGCTATTCATGCATTCATTTAACAAAGATTTATTGGATGCCTATTATGTGCCAGGCACTGGCAAGGTGTTGGCAGATAGACACAGATGAAAAACCACCGTATCTTCAAGGAGCACATAGTATATTGTGGGGAGAGAGATCTGCACGTGGACAAGAGCAACGAAAGGCTGCATCTCTTCATGACAGAAGTGGTGAAAAGCAATTAGGGACACGTGGAAAGAAGTGGGGCTGGGGAGCAGGGTAAGGACAAGAAAGGGTCCCCAGAAGAAATTAGCCTTGGAGTCAGATCAGAGGACGAGGTGTGGGTGGGCATTCTGGGCAGAGGCCCTTGTTCGACTTGTTTGTAAATATGCTTTTGTTGAATGATGATCAGTTTATATGTAAACTTTATTTTTTTTAATGTTTTTACTGTTTTTGGTGAGGAAGATTGTCCCTGAGCTAACATCTGTCCCAATCTTCCTCTATTTTTTGTATGTGGGATGCCATCATAGCATGGTTTGATGAGCAGTGTGTGGGTCCACACCTGGGATCCAAACCCACAAACCCTGGGCTGCCAAAGCAGAGCACGCAAACAGCCTCTAGGCCACTGGGCCAGCCCCCTATATGTAGACTTTAGAAATTCAGTGAAAATTTCTTCAAGAGCTTGTTCGTATATTGAATGGCTTCTGTTGAGACAGGAGTAGGTAAGGCTGGAAAAGTCAACGTTTTATGAAAGAGACTAAAACTTGCCCAAATCCCCTAAATATATCAGGATATGGCTGTATGTAGTTTCACTACCAGAGAAGTCAAACAAAACTGTAGTATGTATCCCTCAGAGATGAATAAATGTATAAAATGTAATACAAGGTTTTAGTGTCTGTTGGTGCATCATTTTAAGAAGGTTCATGTTTTATAGTAAGCATTACTTATTTTGACACAGCTCTGTTTTCCCTGTTTCTTTGCTCACTGTTGATTCCTGCTTCCTACTCCATTTAAGTTCACCTTTTTCTTGCTTAAGTATGTCCTTAGTAATTCTTTCACTGAAGGTCTTTGGGCATAATCTTTCTAGGTCAAGTTTGTCTGAGATGACTTTATTTTGTCATCAATCTTAAATGATCATTTCACGTTATAGAATACTGTTTCCAAATACTTTCTCTCAGCATCTTGAAGATAATATTACATTGACTTCCAGCATAAATACTCTTGCTGATGAAAATCTGGATTTTCTTCCCTAGAAATAGTCTGCCTTTCCCTCTGGTCACTTTTTAATTTTCAGTTGAAATTTTCTATTCATTTTGATGTGTGTGGAATTAGAACAAAGGAAAAAAATTAAAACTGGCTGCAAAAGTTTCTGATAAAAAATTTAATCATAAAACATTGGTAATAATTTAATCATTTAAAATCTTCTGTTCTTCAAGAGACAGTATTAAGAATATGAAAATGTAAGCCACAGACGGGGGGCAATATTTGCAGTACATATTTCTGATGAAAAATAAATTGTACATGATCAAATTTTTTAAATTGCACTTCGAAAGACATCATCGAGAATGTAAAAAGAGAACCTATAGAATGTGAGAAAATATTTGCAAATCATATCTGATAAGGGTCTTGTATCCAGAATATGTAAAGAACTCATAACTTAATAAGACAACCCAATAAAAAATATGCAAAAGATTGAATAGACTTTTCTCCAAAGAAGACATGAATAGCCAATAAGAACACTAAAAGATGTTCAACATCATTAGTCATCAGGGAAATGCAAATTAAAACCACAATGAAATATCACTAAAATAGCTAAAATTTTAAAAGACTGACAATACCAAGTATTGGTGAGGATGAGGGAGAAGCAGTTCTCATATAATGCTGGTGGGAATGTAAAATGGTATGACCACTATGGAAAATAAGTTGGCATTTCTTACAAAATCAAATGTACACTTACCATATGGCCCAGCAATTCCACTCCTAGGTATTTACTCAAGAAAAATAAAAATGTCCAAAAATGACATACACAAATGTTTATAGCACTTTGCTCATAATAGCTGAAAACTGGAAATGACCCAAATGTCTATCAAGAGTTGAATGGATAGGTGAATTGTAGTATAATCATACAATGGAATACTACTCAGCAATAAAAAAGAATGAACTACTGGTATACAAAGTAACACGGATGAATCTCAGAAACATTATGCTGAGAGAAAGAAGCTAGACATGAAATAGTACATACTACATTTTTTTTTACATGAAGTTTTAGAACAAACAAAATTAGCCAATAGTGAATGTATTATCTATTGCCGCATCTGGGTACCTCAACGGTCTCTCAAAATGTTGCAATCAAAGTGTCAGCTGGGATGACAGTCTCACCTATGGGCTTGACTGAGGTTGGTCGGCTTCCAAACTGCTCAGGTGGTTGTTGGCTGGACTCTGTTCCTCGCTGGCTATGGGCCAGAGGCCTCCCACACTTCCTTGTCACATGGCCCTCTCCATAGGGCAGCTCACAACATGCAGCTAGCCAGCTTCCACAGAACGAACTAGTGAGAGAACACAAGATAGAAGCAAGACTTTTTTGTAACCTAGTCTTGAAAGTAGCATCTATCACTTTTGTGATATTCTTTTCATTATAAGTAAGTCACTAAGTCCAGCCCACATTCAAGGGTTTGAAGACTAGGAGATGGGATCCTTGGGGACCATTTTACAGATCAGACTTAATTTAAAAGTAATTTTTATATGTAATAATGCAGAATGACCATGAGTGGTATGTATTTTTAGAAGGCTCATGCACTAAAATTCTCATCTTTTGGTTAATGCCTAAAATTCCAGAGAGAGAGATTCAATCCTTCAGTTGAAGGGTTTCATTAGTAAAATATAGACTATGAAGGGAGAGTTTCCTTTTGGGCCTGAGTAATAATTACTGTATTTTTATACTGTGTGTACCTAAAATTGGGTATACTGTATTTGCCCAGAATCCACGTTGGGTAAAGAAGAGGGAAGGTAAAGAAAGAGAAACAGGGCAGAACTGGTAAGCCCATATAAAACAGAACACTTTGCAGTTTTGCCTATAATCAGCAGCCCCGTTGGTTGCAGACCAGCTCAGTCTTCTCATATTATGAATATGTACTGACATTTTAATTTTATTACTTTAGGTTTGTTTCTCGACCTTTTTAGATTGTAAATGTTAGGGAGTTTTTGTTTGTTTTACTTTAAAGGGGCCATGCTTGCAAGTGAATATTACACACTGATTTTCTAATACTCTGCCAATTTTCTATACCCACTCCTGTGATCGTAATTTCTATTTTCATGCATTTGCTCATGTTAAAGTTGTTGTAGAGATTAAATGAGTTCATACATGTAAAGCACTTAGTACCCCACAGACAGTAAGTGCTCAATACTATTATTAAGATTGATGCTGTTGTCCTCTGCTGTTCTGATCTCTACTACCCTCCTCCAATTGGTTCACTTTCCTTCCTCTACACCATTCTGCCTCCTCTTCAAATCCAGCCTGTTTTCTTTTCTGTTCCTCATCTTACATAGTCTCACTGCAACTTGGCTCTACTAAAACTCCTTCCTTTTGCTCCTTACCACATTCCTCACAGGGTCAATTACATTTTTTTTTTCATTCTCTAAGCAGATGAATCAGCTGCTTACGGAGAAGATTGAAGCTATCTATCCAAAATGTCCTCTTTTCTTCTCTTCACTGTAGTTTCCCTGCATTCACATTCTCTCTGGTTCATCAACCCTTTTCCTCTGTCTCAAAAGAAGGCACATTCTTCTGTGGCTAACCCCTCCATCTCTATTTTTCATTCTATTCTTCAGTTGGGATTAGGCTAGGCTGCAAATAACAGAAAATCCTCAAATGACAGTGGCTTGAAAAAAGACAGGTGCTTCTCTCAGGTGACACAGATCTAAAAGCAGGCTGTTTAGGACTGAGATGGCAGCTCCACCAGTTGTCAGGGACCCATGTTTTTTTCTTTTTCACTGCTCTGCCGTCCCTAAAGCGTGGCCCTCATCCTCACGGCACAAAATTGCTGCTTGAAAACCAGGAAACACAACTTCCAGGGAGCAAAGTGAAGCTAAAGAAGGCAGGGAGGACCTCCTCTCTTTTAAGATGTCCCTAAACAAGTACACGACACTTAATTGATATGTAATGGGCCAAAACTTAGTCAAATCTGGCTCCAAGGGAAACTGTGAAAGGGGCTATTTAACTGGGTGGCAGTGTGCCCACCAAAAAAAAATCTATGCTTTGTTACCTCAAGAAAAAAAAATGGTATTCTGTTATAAAGAAGTAAGGGAGAAAGATTTGGCGAGGCACTCATCCTTTCTCATCTCCAACAATATCTGTTTACTTCCTTCTTCAATCCTCTTCCGTTCCCCTCAAACATGTTCTAGCTCTCCACTCTTCATCCTAAAAGAAAATCAAAAAGCTTCTCTTAATTCTGGTCATTCCCTTCCTTTCACTGCAAAAAAAATTTTTATCGCTCTTCTTTACAATTTCTTTAAGTTCTTCTTTTTTGCTTATTTCCAATCCCTACCCACCATCTCACCTTTATATAGTTCGTAATTAGTCTCCGAGCTCCTGGGGCACTTAACATATACATCTTTACCCCAACCAAGTCTTTAAATTTTATGTTATTTATATTCAACTTCACAAATAATACAAGAATACATGATTGTAAATATACATATATATTATAAATAAAGCAAACATCTTCTTCAGCCACACCCCTGGGTACATTAAGACCGTTAGAATTGCTGAACAAATGAGAGGATGGATGGAGTAGGGCAGAAGATGAGACTTTCCCAATTCGTTCGTGTAAAACGGAGTCCAGGGCCCTCTTTCACTTCGGGTTTCGCAGGCCCCACGAAGGTCTCTCCCTGCAAAATCCTGGTCTGTCTTCTACGCACTGGAGTGAACGCTAAAACCGGGCCCTCTAACACCCCCAAGTTTGATGGCCCCCGCCCCAGTCGGGGGGCAGAGGCAGGTACGAGACTCTAGCGAGTTCCAGGGTCCCCGCGGAAAAAAACCACCGAGGCACTTCTCTGACGCACTTCCGGCGCGCCGGAACAGAGGCGGGCCGCGGTGACCGCCGGGGAGCCGGAAGCCGGGAAGATGGTGGTCACCAGGTCCGCGCGGCCTCAGGCCGGGGTCCAAGCCGCATCAGCTGAAAGCTCCCGGGAGAAGGTAGGAGATCGCAAGGTTCCCTCATTTCTGCTCGCTGCTTCGCAGGGCGGTGCTCAGAGAGGAGAGGCGGTGCGAGGGCCCTGCGCGGCGTGGGGAGGAGCGGCGGAAAGGGCCCGAGCCTGCCGCGCCCTTCTGTGCTCCAGGCACCGCGCGAAGCGTTTAGCTTCCTCTTCAGTGGAAGTCTTTTAGGGCAGTCCTTAACATGGAACAGAGGTTAGCAAACTTGCTTTGGGTAGTTCACCTCCGTAATGCAGATGCACGGCTCAGGCCTTCTAACACCGTAGTAAGGAGGAATAACTTCGCCCACGAAGTGTGAGCCAATTTAGCGGGGTTGGAGAAAAGGGCGCCGTCTTCACGTGTGGAGGCTGGCCGTGGCCCTACAGCACCTCCTGTGGGCGTGGTGGGGGCCAGAGGGGCCGTGGGCTGCGGTGACGCCGCCTGGTGGCTCTCAGTGGCGCTAGTTGTCCGCTGCCTCTGCTGATTATGCGATGAAGGGGACGGGACGAAGCGGAGCGTTAATTCACTCATGTAAAGGTAAGGGCAGCGACCGATTCCATGGCTGTATGTGTTCCTAAATACAGATTTGACTTTGAGTGAGAACACTCTCTTGAGTTATTTGTCTTGCTCCCTAAAGTCAGATCCAGTACTTGGGTGAGGTGAGTTAGCAGGGCCCTGCAAATGCACGGTCAGATCCAGTACTTAAGTTTTTGATTCTTTTTTTTTAATCATGGGTGGTGGTGATTTTTTTTTAATTCATTTTGTTTACCGAGTTCTTTATTGTTCTGTTAAAATTTGCTCCTGAGGGGACTGCCTCACTCACTTTGCCCATGTCCCAGCCCTACCTCAATTACAGTGTGTTTTCTCTGGCTTACAGATTTCTGCTGCTGAAAGAATTCAAGCACACTCAAAAGGCAGGAAGGACTCTCCATCTGATGACCAAAGTTCTGCTGAATCACAGAGCACGAGAAAACAAAGTCCAGTCTCTAGAACTCCTAAAACCAGAAGGAGGAAGAGCAGACCTACAAGCTCATTACATGAGCAAATGGACAGACCACCTACTGATGGAGAGACCTCTGAAGCAGAGTCAGATTGTTCTTCTGTGTCTGAACTCCAGGGTCCCATTTTAAGAATAACTAGAAGGCGGCAGATCTTAATTGCCTGCACTCCAGTGTCTAGTGCTAGGAAAAGGCTGAAAATAACTCCAATAAATGAATCTCATACTGAAGAAGTCTCTGAAGCAGAATCGCATGTTTCAGGTATTTCTAGAATTGTGCTTCCCACAATAATGACTGCAAGAACCAGAAGTCAGGCTAAATCCCTAACAGACCCAAGCCAAGAATCACATGGGGAAGCTGTTTCTGATGCTGAGTCATCATGCTCAGACATGTCTTCCTTTTCTGGAATTTCAACTAGGAGAACAACCAGGAGTATGCAGAGGAAAATACAGGCACAAACTGGGGAGAAAGATGATGTAAGAGAGGAAAAACAGGCCAGTGTTGCACCTCTCAAAGAAATAACAAAGAAGAATTCTAAGAGTTTAGATGAAGAAGCCAAAGGAATGACAGATCAGGGAAAAGAAATTAATGAGAAAAATTCTCAGTTGAAGAGTCTTTCTGAACTTAAGGACGCTAGCATTCAGCAGTTAATTTCTCAAAGGCATTCAACCCCTCAAAGTAAGAAAACTGCCTCAGAGCCCTCAAATCTGAACTGTGAGGCTATAATGAAATCATTAGCTCAAACATTTGCGGTTGTGGAAGTGGACAGATGGGATGCAAAAAGAAAGAGCACCATAAAAACAAGTGACTTGGCAGAATTTGATGATGGTGGTCATAGTGATGAAGAACAGTGCACAGTTACAGGTGTCAGGGAACATATGAACGAAGGGGATATAGATTTTGAGTGTGAAGATGTGAACAGAGAAAGGGATACAGATTTTGAGTGTGAAGACATGAATGAAGAAAGGGATACAGATTTCGAGGGTGATACCAAACTGTACAAGTCTGAGTTCAACACATCTCAGGATAAAGGTGATTCTGTTTTATTAGTTCTCAGCAGTGATGAAAGCCAGCAGTCCAAAAACAGTGAGAATGAAGAGGACACTGTGTGTTTTGTTGAAAACAGTGGTCAAAAAGAGTCATTAAATGAAGACTCAGAAAATATGTCATGTGACAATGCATTGTTTGTAATTGACACAACTCCTGGAGTGAGTGCTGATAAAAATTTTTACTTGGATGAGGAAGACAAGGCAAGCGAGGTTGCCACTGAGGAAGAAAAAGAAGAGGATGAAAAAAGTGAAGAAGAACCATCAGACAGTGATGAAAATAAGGATAGTGAGTTTAGTGATGAAGATGATTTACTAAATGGCACAAAGTCTAAACTGTAAGTTTTACCTTTACTTTTAAAAGTAAGTTTTTGATATATATCTCAAGTGGCTAATTTACCATAAAAATATAAAATATTAGAAAACATGGGAATTGAGAAAATTACTGCCTCGAGTTCTTAATGGAAAAGCTCATTTATCCAGCATTTTCCTCGTCCCTGTAGGTGCCTTTGTTGGTCATATTTTTTCCACCAATTATAGCTAACAGGGCTCCTTTTGGTGATATATTGGAAATCATCTGTTCAGATTTTTCTGCATGATTGTTAACAGCAACATAAAAGGGAAGGAAAGTAACTTGTTTTTTTCTGTATCTTGATTGTAGAGAAATTGAAAAATTTAGAAGAGCCTGAGAAAAATAATCACCTACAATCCCAGCTATCACCCATTGAAAAGTGCTAATGTTTGGGGCTGTTTCTTTTTTGCTGTTTTAAATTTGTTTTCCCTAGGGACAGGCCCCTAGTAGCAATGTGTCCACCGGAAACACTGGCATCCTTGTAAGGAACTGTATATTCACAGATCCCAGTTTTCACTCTAAACCAATGAAATCAGTCTCTGAGGCTAGGCACATGCATACTTATTTTTTAAAAGTCACACTGCTCCCCAGGATAATTCTAATGTACGTTCAGGGTTGAGAATTCACGCCAAGGCACTGCAGTAAAATAATTTCACTTTCCAATAGAGGTTGATTGTCAGTTGATTTCAACTGCCCAGTTTATATGAATAATCAGGGAAGAAAGTGTACTTGCTTATAAAAAGGACCCTTCGATAATATAAAGTAGAAATGCTCATTAAATAAATATAGCAGGAACCATGAGATTCTGATTTGGTATGTCTGGGGTATGACATTTATATTTTTAAAAAGCTCCAGTGGGAAATCTGGGTGCTCATCACTGTTTAAAACTCACTGATTTAGCAGAAAAACATCTAATGGATAACGTGGAAGTTCAAAGGAGAAGAATCTATGTTCCTGGTTTTAGAGATGGCGATATGTACATGTATTAACTCATGACTTGTATATCAAGTTGATACATTGCCAGATGTATCTCCTCTCCTCTTTTCTTTTTATAAAATGCCTCTGTGAAATCTCTTGGCCTGTTGTATGGCCTTAATCCATTTTAAGAAAATCTAGGGAATAAATGTGGATGTGCTCCCCAAAAGCTTTTTTGTTTAATTCATTATTCATCCCAGAATTTTGTTCTAAATGACTTGACTAGATTTAAAATATATATTTGTTCACAGTTTTTCAGAAACTCTATTGTAAAAATGACTTTTTTTGGTCATTGACAGTAAAAGGGAAGAAAAGAAAAAAAGTGATTTTAAAAATAGAGTCTTCAGTTGTTTCCATTTTGATTTAATTACTTGATCTTTTAAGTGATTATTTCTCTTTCAGTCTGAAGTTGACAAGCAGCAGCATAGACCCTGGTTTGAGTATCAAGCAATTGGGTGGTTTGTATATTAATTTCAATGCAGACAAACTACAGTCGAATAAGAGAACTCTAACACAGATCAAGGAGAAAAAGAAAAATGAGGTAAGTTACACAAAGTGTCCTGTTGGTTTTCATAGAACTAACCAATCACTTCTAGAAATGATTAGTTCTTGGTAAGAGACTAATTTTCCTACAATGAAACCGCATTAGCCAACTGTGCTCCTTTTTTCCCTCTTTCTAGAATGGTCATTTCTTTTTTATAAAGTCCTAGCTATAAAAGATGACACTTGAAAAATAAAGTAATGCAGGATCAGTGTTCCTCTTCTTGCACCCACCAGTTATGATCCCAGGGGTTGTGTTTTCTTCTCTTTTTCTTGCTATTCTTTTAGTTCTTAATTGGTCTGAACTCTGTTGAAAATCTGAAAGCTGTGAGTGCCTGCCTCCCCCTCCCATATGTGCATATAGACATAAAATTGTACATTTAATTTCAGAAGGAATTCACAGAGTGCGTAACCTCATCCAAACCCTCAGCTTCAGCCACCACCTTGCCTGGCTTCCTCCTAAATCTGTATTTTCTAGCCTTGCAGCCTCTTCAGGTCTTTAAATCCAGGTGCTTGTTGTGTGTTCATTCAGATGTCCTCAGGTACTTGAACTTGCTTATTGCCCTCCTTCTCTTCCTTGCCTGAACCAGCTTCTCCTTTTGTATTCTCAATCCTGGTTAATGATGCCAAAATCTCTTTCCCTTTTGTGATTTCTCCTTAGTGATTGACTAATCACTAAGCCTAGAAAACAGTCCTTCTTACATACTTTCTATTCTCTTCCCTCATTTTTGCCCCATTGTCATTGGCTAGTGCCAGCCTTTGGTTTTCATCTGGACTGCTGCAGTACGGCCTCCTTACTCTTTGTCCTTCAAGCCATCCTCCATGCTCTTGCTAGATGTCTCTTTCTAAAAACACAAGTCTGACCATGATATTCTCCTGTTGAAGGCCTTCAGTGGTTCCTCAGAGCCTTCAGGGGGCCTCTGTACCTCCTGCTTTGATTGTCCACCTGCTGTGTTCTTGCCATTGAAGACTTCTGTAGTTCCCTCAACATACCTGTTCTCTCCCAGGCCATTGCAGATCATAGATCACTGCCTTTGGGAAACAGTCTTGGACCCGAATCCTTCCCCCCACCTCTGTGCTCCTGCAACACCCAGAATAGATCTGATTCATTATTGATCATGTAGTGTAATTGTTAATTTACTGGCTTTAATCTTTGTATTCCTAAAACAGGATTTCTCAGCTTTAGCCATAGTGATGTTTTGTGCTTGATAATTCTTTCTTGTGGGGATATATTCTGTGCATTGTAGGATGTTTAGCAGCATCCCTGGCCTCTACCCACTAGATGCCAGTAGCATTCGCCCTCCCCTCCGTGCACACACCAAAAATGTCTTCAGACGTTGCCAACTGCTCCCAGTTGAGAACCACTGTCCTAGATCTTAGTATAGTACTTGACACATAGCAAGCTCTTAATAATCTGTTAAATAAATGCCATGCTCTCTCTTCTGAGCAGTAGGAAAGTCTAGACTGCTACCGCACTACCCAGAAACTTCTGGGCCTGAACCTGAATTGGGGATTTCTGAATTAATAGTTTATTTCTGAAATGATAATTTCAAATGTTATTGACCAAATTAATATTTGCTGTATTCCTATGAACTATTTTGAGGGAGCAGTCTTCTTTAGTTCTTGCACTGGGAGAGATGATGAATTACCCTGAGGCTCCTTTTAGGTACATAAACAATATTATGACAATATTTAATCATCCTAGGCAAGTCACAAAAAATGCAGAAGTTGTTTAGGAAGAGATTAACAGATTTGACTACACAAAACTTTAAAACTTATGCAATTAAAAACACCTTAGGAAAGACAAGTAAAAGACCATAGATTAATACCACTAAAATAACAAAATACACTTCTACAAATTAATAAAAACACAGCCCTATATAAAAATGAAAAAGAACCCCAAAACGTACAGGCATTCCCCAGAAGAGGACATAGCTAATAAATATAAAAAAGATGATCAACAACAAATGAAAACAGCCAGGAGGCACCAGTGACAACATACAAAAGATACTCCCCAGGGGCTGGCCCGGTGGCGCAGCAGTTAAGTTCACACATTCCACCTTGCTGGCCTGGGGTTCACTGGTTCTGATCCCAGGTGTGGACATGGCACCACTCATCAAGCCATGCTGTGGTAGGCATCTCACATATAAAGCAGAGGAAGATGGGCACGGATGTTACCTCAGGGCTGATCTTCCTCAAAAAAAAAAAAACTACCCAGTGTTGGTGGCACTGTAAAAAAAAAAAAGGGCACGATTAACTGTTGGTAGGAGTTTATACTAAAATGCAAAGCAATTGAGCAATACCTATCAAAATTTAAATGACACATTTTGGAATCTGTTTTATAGAAATAATCACAAATGTACAGAGATGATGTTTACGATGTTTAATGGAAAAAGTTTAATGGAGACTTAAACTAAATGTCTGAAGAAAAATTGTGGTGCGTAACAGCTATTAAAAAGAATGAAGTTAATCTATGTATGAATTGACATTGAAAGAGTAAGATGTATTGTTGAGTTGTAAAAAGATTTGTCTAGATAGAATGATCTCATTGGTATAACACAAGTATATGTTGTTTAATCAAAATCTGTATTGCTGTTCGTATTCTATTAATAGTCTAGCTGTCTCCTCAGATCACAGGAAGCTGTTTTACTAACATGAAAAGAACTTATTAAAGACTTATTAAGACTTATTGAAGACAAGTTTTTCTCAGGGATTTCAAGAGCCATTGTGGCATTGTTCCTAATGTCTTTATTTTCCACTGGTTTGGTGCAGTGACTGGGTGCAAACCAATAAATACAAGTGGACACATTAAATCTGATGGGGCAAATTTGAGCTGAATATCCATTTTATAGATTTCCTAAAATAATCCTTTAGTTTGCTCCTAAAACATTTTTATTGTCATATAGTGTACAAATTTAAGAACAGGAACAACTTTGCAGTAGTGTGTCTGTGTATAAAGAAGGTTACTGTATTTAGAGTAGTCCTCAGTGTGGGAGATGTTTCCCATATAAAGCAAAAATGTTGAAAAAAGTTCTATGACATTCTGACATTATTTTAAAACCATTTTAATATTTTTATAGCTTCTGCAAAAAGCCATCGTTACACCTGACTTTGAAAAAAACTACTGTGTCCCACCATATAGAGAGTCAAAGTATCAACTTCAGAAAAAACGCCGAGTAAGTACAGTGACTCTTATTATTTAGAATGTTTAGATGTTTTAGACTCTATATGTTCAGCTTATACAACATGGTTGTACAATTAAAATATATATATTTCCAAAGTAAATTATCACAGGTATCTCACGACCCATAAAATATGGTTCCATAAACGTGTTATATGGATTTCCACAAAGTGGAACTGCACCACGTAGTGCACATAGATACAGCTGTTTTTTTCCCCTTTCTTAAAAATAGCGACAGCCAGCATATAAGGTCACTGTCCATATCTTTTGGCTTATAGGTACTATTCACTAAAGGCCAGGAGCTCTGTTGCAGGCTGTTGTAGAGAACTTGATGTAGCCAGCTAAAAACGCTGGTTTATTCAGTCTGCCAAACGAGCGGATAGAAACTGTTTTCTTTAGTAGAATATAGAGGATTGCTTCCATCTGCCATTTCAACTAATAAGCATAAAAAAGTTATCAAGAGGATGCCAGCCTAGTAGCATAGTGGTTAAGTTTGCGCACTCCGCTTCGACGGACTGTGGTTCGTGGGTTCAGATCCCAGGTGCAGACCTACAGACTGCTCATCAAGCTATGCTGTGGCAGCATCCCACACGCAAAAGTAGGGGAAGATTGGCACAGATGTTAGCTCAGGGCCAATACTTCTTCACCGAAAAAAAAAAAGTTATCAAGAGAGCTTGGAGGAAATTTGAGGATGGTACTGCAGTAATGTCACTAATATGGAGCACCCTGGCACATGGTAGGCACTCCATGATATTTGTTGTATGAATGAAACAAAAAATAAAATTATGCAAATAACTTGCTAGGAGTTTTCAAAAGAATAGAAATTTTTGTTTGATTTTAGAAATAATACAAATTTCTAGACTGTTGGAGTGAGTGACTTTCTGAGACACCTGAGTGACTGAATAAAGTGTTTATGTTTTCATAAAAGCTCCAGAAGTGAAAATGTTTTTATACATTGTCTCTTGTGTAGGCTATTTTAGACAATCAAAACTGAAGCTGTGGGTTATTCACCCAGCAAGTCAGCAATTCTCACTAAGATACAAAATAAATTTTAAGGAGCCCTTATTTATGAAACTGATAATGCTCTGCCTAATTTACCAGAGAAATCACTTTTGTGATTGAATTCCTTTTATGAAAGATGAATCTGGAGAGTAACTTTGTTTTTAATTAATGAAATTTTCTGTATGTGTAATTTTGGGGGAAATGAGGTATAATTTATACTCTGCTTGTTAAAATTAGAATTTTCTCTTTGTCTTTGAAATCTGAATTTCAGAAAGAGCGACAAAAAACAGCAGGTGATGGCTGGTTTGGTATGAAAGCTCCAGAATTGACAGATGAACTGAAAAATGATCTCAAAGTACTGAAGATGAGAGCTAGCATGGACCCAAAAAGGTTTTACAAGAAAAATGATAGGGATGGCTTCCCCAAGTACTTCCAGGTATGAAGCAAACAGAACAATGGTGGTGCTATTGATGGATTTTAGTTTGGAAAGCCCTATGCTGATTTGTTTACTCTTAAAATAGATAAATATTTACAATATACATCTTCTTAGGCCGTATAATAATGGCCAGAACCCCATTCAGACAGCCACCAGCTTGTACAGTCACGTGCCGCATAAACGACATTTTGGTCAATGACGGACCGAATATACAACGGTGGTCCCATAAAATTGGAACCATATAGCCTAGGTGTGTATTAGGCTACACCCTCTGGGTTTGTGTGGCTATATACTCTATGATGTTTGTACAGCGACAAAATCACCTAATGATGCATTCCTCAGAATGTATCCCTGTTGTTAAGGGACGTGTAACTGTAATGGCTTTCCATGTAGAGTCGGGGTTGCAAATGGTGACTGGGTTTCCAGGTCAACTCTGAAAGTTATGAAACCTATGAGTAGTACCATATATGAATAGTACTATCCTAAGAGCAAGAATCCTTGCAGGATGGAGGAGGAAAGGGAATCATTTACACCAAACTCTTCTTTTCCAGGTAGAGGGACATCCCCAGGCAAATTCTGAAAATAAGTTAAAAGTTGGTTTTCAAAGTGTTTTCAGATGAATGTCCCGTTGATTCATCCTCTGGGCGCTCTCAAGTTCATTTTGTTTCTTTAATACCTTTTTCGTCACTATGGAGATTAGCATAATAGTCCTTTGCCTTCAGGTCTACTCTCCCTTCTAGTCCATCCTCCATGTTGTAGCCAGTTATCTCTTCTTGAAAAAAACCATCTCCTCGTGATATACCACTGCTCAATGATATCACAGATATCGTTCCATGGTACCTTCAGCGATTCTTTATGATCTGTAGGATAGAATCTGTATCCCTTAATGTGGCCCTTCACAATCTGCACCCGAACCAGTTCACTAACCCTTCTCTTGTCACATAGCCCTCTTCAGCTTACACATTTAGCTGTTCTCAGAATATGCAGAGACTGGTCTTGGCACTCTGACTTTGCATGTGCTTGCCTCTGTCATGTTTGCTTGGTGAAATTTTACCTATCCCATTCCAAGCTAAAATGTCATGATTTGTGAAATCTTTACCTCCCTTAGGTAGAATTGGTCACTTAGTTTTCAGAACAGCTGTAGTGTTTTGTTCAGCATAATATCATGTTATGCTTTAGTTTTTTAGTTCTCTATCTGTGGTCTTCTTTATGACTATGGGTTCTTTGTCTTTGTTTCCCTAATACCTGGCACAGTGCCTGGCACGTAGTGGACACTGTAAATTTTACTCGGTGGAATGTATGAACAAATGCAGAGTGATCACTATGTAGGTTCTAAGCTGGCATCATTTATGATAACCTAACCTGGGAGATCACATATGTAGGTAGTAGAATTTATGTCAGTTTCATTAATTTGGAAAACTAGAACAAGTGTTTTATTATCTGTTCCATTTTTCTCTTCTACTTACACTATTTATCAAGAATTTACTGTCTAGCACTAAATTATATAAAAAGAATTTTGGATTTACTATAAACTCTAATGAAGAAATGTCATTAGAAGGACCCAATGCAGATTGAATGGGTGATATATTTTTGCTTTAAAAGATGGCAAAACTAACTTTAATATTGGTATACCGTAAGCTTGTGGGTTCCATTCCTTTCTGTACATATGCTTTGTTAGAGCTGTCCTGAAATAGGAAAGCAACTCGGCATTCAGGTATTGCATGACTTATTTCAATCACTTGTTCACAGATTGGAACCATCGTTGACAATCCAGCTGACTTCTACCATTCGCGAATTCCCAGGAAGCAAAGGAAGAGAACTATTGTGGAAGAGCTGCTGGCTGACTCTGAGTTCAGAAGGTAAAGGGATTTGTGTCTCACTTTATGACACGCACGCTTTCCTTTAGAATGTGTGTCAGCTTCTAAAATTTCAGATTTTCAAAGGCTTTAGCACAGAGTTTCTCAACCGCAGCACTGTTTATTTTTGGATGGGATAATTCTTTATTGGGAGCACTATCTTATGCATTGTAGGATGTTTAACAGCATCCCTGGCCTCCACTACATGCCAGTAGCAACGCCCCCCCACCTCCACCATTCATGACATTCAAAAATGTCTCCAGACATTTCCAAATGTCCCCTGCAGGCATAAGCATTCCCAGTTTACAATCACTGCTTCCAAGGGAAGCTTGAAAGTATTTGACTGGCTAGAGGAGGATGAGCCTGCAAAGGAGACTGGGAAAGAATAGCCAAGGGGGCATTAAGAAAACCACGAGTGCACAGGGTCATAGAAGTCAAAGAGAGAGAATGTTATGAGCAGGTATAAGCTGGAGGGAATGGTTAACAGGAATAAATGCTGCCAAGAGATCAAATGAGGTAAGAACTAAAAGCTTCCTTTGGATTTAATTACATGGAGGTCACAGTAACCTTGGCAGAAGGAGTTTTAGGGGAGTGATAGGGAGGACACCAGATGGAGAGGACAGGAAGTGAGCTGAAAATGAAGAAAGAGACAATCTTTAAAGAACCTTGGCTGTGCAGAGGAAGCGGGGGGGAGGCTAGTGGATATGGTGTTAGAGGTTTATTTTAAGATGGGAACAATGTATGTTTAAATGTCCTCGAAGCAGCTGTGTATATATTATAGGAGATTTAAAAGCATACCTCATGTAGAAACCTCTGCTGAACTTCCAGATTTATTTAATAGCAAAAGTGAAAATATTTATCAAGAGTTTTAAAAATAATGTAGACTGTAGGCATAGCAAGAGTTCTAAAAATAATGTAGATTATAGGCATGGAAAATAAGTGTTATGTGAGCTATTTATTGGGTTGGGATAATTTAACGAGCAATGCTCTTTTCTCACTTAATTACCCTCCTTGGAAGTCTCCTCCCCACAGAGCTTTAATTATAATCTATATACTGCTGACTTCCAACTGTCTGTGTCTAGTCTAGATCGCTTCTGAGTCCAGACTCACATTTCCAACTGCTGCCTCAGGCACGTCCAATGGGTATTTCACAAGCACCTCTAAGAGCTAACTTCTGGTCTCTCCTGACCCCTCTCCCCTTGTACAATCTAATCGTCTCCCAGTGCTCTGTACCTCAGGACTGACTGGCATCGCCATCCATCCCTTAGGGCAGGTCCTTGACACTACCTTCTCCTTTCAATCCCATATTCAGACTCAGAGTTCCTCCTGTTTTCCTATCTCTAAAGCCTGTCTCTTTCTCTCCATCCCCACAGAGATGTGGTGCAAGCTGACTGAATCTTTGCTTACCTAAGTGTTTATCTATATGTTGGGATAAAAATTGACCTGACGTTTTATAATCTTGATGATGGCAATCTTAGAAATCACAGCAATGTTGATAGTGCTTTCACTAAAAAATAATCTTAGGATAAGGAAGTTAGGGCAGTAAACTAGAAATTTAGTAGAATGAAAGTCATAATTTGCAGATTAGAGGTCATCTTACCAGTTCATTGTTTCCCATACTTCTTCAGTCCTGGAATCCCATTTTCACAATGTTTGTGTTATCTGTATACTGCCTACTTTATTTTAAAAGGAAACTTTATGTTGCTACTGTAAATGGACTTGTTGACTTATATTTTTTCTAATACAAAGATACATTACTTAAAATGAATATTGACTTTGTATCACCTAAATTTACATACCACACTATGTGAAACACATGACTAGCCCATCTCTCCAGAGTGTTTTCATCCCCTCTACAACATTCTCAAGAGGTTTTCTGGCCTCTGAACACTCTGGGATAGGGAGCTTCACTGAACATATTTAACGCAGTGTATGTTCATTAGTAGGCATGTCCTGGGACAAGAGAAATAAGTGTGACGTACGAGAGGAAATGTGCTTTTCTGTGTTGTATTGGTTTTTGGTTTGTTTCATTTTTACCCTAAACTTAGGTTTGTTAGAATGTGGGTAAATTGTGCTGCTGACTTGTGGGATTGGGTGAGCTGTAAAGTTGTAAAAGTCTTAAATAGCTTCTGTTTTAAAGAGATTAGCTAATCTTCAGCTTTAGTAATGTGATAACAGATTTATGTAACAGTGAAAATGCTTTAGAACAAAGGAATTTTATGTTTAGAGAATTTTTAACTTTTCCTAATTAACTGTGCACTGATAGCCCTTCTTTTGGTGAAACTTCTAGCTACTACATCATTATTTTTCTGCAATAAATTGTGCTTCTGTGTTTCCAAAGCCCAATAGGGAAATCTAGTCTATAGCAGCAATTCTCTGATCTGAGGATGCCTTTAAACTCTTTAAAAACTATTGAAGACTCTAGGGCTGGCCCAGTGGTGCAGTGGTTAAGTTCGCACGTTATGCTTCGGCGGCCCGGGGTTCACGGTTCAGATCCCGGGTACGGACGTGGCACCGCTTGGCAAGCCATGCTGTGGTAGGCATCCCACATATAAAGTGGAGGAAGGTGGGCATGGATGTTAGCTCAGGGCCAGTCTTCCTCAGCAAAAAGAGGAGGATTGGCAGCAGATGTTAGCTCAGGCAGGGCTGATCTTCCTAAAAAAAATTATTGAAGACTCAAATAACTTTTGTTTTATGGGTTACCTTTATCAGTATTTACTACAATGGAAATTAAAGTTAAGAAACCTTAAAAATAATTCATTTTAAAATAAGAAATCCAATACATACTATATAAATATTTTCATGAAAAAACAAAAATAATTTAGTGCACATCTCTTTAATGTCTGGCTTAAAGACAGCTGGAGCCTCATACCTGCTTTTGCATCACTCTCTGCCTTGATAGCACATGGTGTAGCCTCTGGAAAACTCCACTGTACACTCATGAGAGGATGAGAGAGAAAAAGGCCACTAAAGCCTTAGTATTCTTGTGAAAATAGTTTTTACCTAATGACCCCTTGAAAGGGCTCATTCCTGGACCACACTTTGAAAACCACCTGTCTGTGATACATTTCTTAAGGTTCTAAGAAATAGATTGTGTGTTTTTAGATAAATGTAACCTTTTTGTTTTGCTTAGTCCTTATTTTTACATTTTTATCCCATAAAAATGTTTCAAGCGTCTGGATGAAATACATGGGTCTCCAGTGGCTGAAAGTTTTCAAAAGCCCTCCCTCCCTCTCCAGTTGCCAGTTTTCTCTCACTAGACTGCAGGCTCTGCGAGGGCAGAGACGTGGCTGTCTGGTTCACTGCTGGGTCCCCAGCTCCTAGTGTGGCTCCTTACACATGGTGGAACTTAGTATACAGGTGATGGATAGGGAAAATGCGAAAAACAACTTGAGAGTTAGAAGCTCCCCCGCACCCACCCACAGGTTACATTAACTTCTAATGTCTGATGTGTCATACTTTAGAACTTAAAGGTTTGGTTTTTCTTTTTAGATATAACCGAAGGAAGTACTCAGAGATCATGGCTGAAAAGGCAGCAAATGCAGCAGGAAAGAAGTTTCGAAAGAAGAAGAAATTTCGCAATTAAGATTCACCAAGCAAACCACAATATTTTACATCTCCCTTTTATTTATCTACTAAAGATGTTTTGAAAACTAACAACAAACATCACATAAATTAATATAGACTGGCCCTATTTATATACAGGGATTTCTGTTTGGAAAAAGTTGATTTGAGAGAGACTCAATCACGTGTCCCTTGGAATAAAAATAGGTGTGTCTACAAAAGACCCACCCATGCTTAGACCTCTTGAGGGAAAAAAAGGAAAAGAACCTCAACCCTTTAAGATAACGTCTTTGTAAAGTTTTCAGTGCTTGGTTATTTAAAGAAAATTGATTAAAAGACATTTACAAAGTATAAAGTTTGCTAACATTCAAAAAACTTCAAAATAATATTATCAAAGATATATAAACAATATTGCAATTACTATGTAGGGGGGTGTTTAGCGGGGAGGTAGACAGGGAGGCTCTTTGGTCAGCTGCAAATTGGGATACAGAGATCTGTTTGTTGCCAGTATCAAAGTCACAGTTGAAACCAAAGGAATGATAAAAAAGTGTTCTTGGAGAAAATGTGCATTAGCATATGACCAAAGAACTAAATGAAGCTATAAAGGGACTTAAAAGATAGTGAAGACCACCTAGAAAGTCTGGGTTAAAGGTAGCAGCAGAAGGAGCACGCTCCTCCTTAGCACCTGAAACAGGAGGAAAGGTTGAATTTTACCCAGATTCAGTGCTGTGTTCCAAGTGAAATAGGATTAAATCAATATAATTTAAGTTAGTCAGGAGGTAAAGTGGCTTCTCTTGTCTCCAGTGGCAGAAGTATGCATCCTGGCTAAGCTACTTATGGCACCCAGGGACTGTTGGTCGTTTCTGTCCATGCTCCTCAGTGGAGTGTTGCTTGCCTTATGTCGTTATTTACAAGACCTCTGTTTTCCCAGCATACTGCTGCTTCCTTAGAATTTCAGTAAATGTGAAATCTCACATTTTGTATTTACTGCTTGGGATCATAAGCACCCTCATAATAGAACTGACAGTGACATTTGTAGGTGGAGTTGGGAAGCATCTGCATATGTTCTCTTTTATAGAAAATCTTTTATTCCAAGAATATTAAGTTTTGCCTTCTACTGGGTAAAATAAGGAGCTGCTCTGAAAGAAGTATCAAAACAAGAACAAGAAATAACAGTTAACTTACTCTTTACACGTTCCAGCAGGAGCTGCTGTTAGCAGAATACTTCTTCCACTTACAGTGTAAGGATACTGAAAGTTGTCAATCAGTATGATGTTTCTCTGCACAGACAGTTGAGGACTTACCCAGTTTTCCTGAGGCTCAAGTTGTGGGTCCACTTCTTATGTAACATGATTTCCATGTTGGTTTCTGACTCGTGAATGCTGGAATAGGCTGAATTACTTCAGTACTGCAGTTATGACAAATATTTGTGATATGATAGTCATTTTACAGGAAAAACAAGACTGGTGACCTCTAATCTTTCCCACACAAGACAGCATTCGAGCTTTCCAGACTGGGAGGCAGTGATGGGGCAGCACTGAACCTAAGTGCCAAGTCCAGCCGTGCGGCTAACTCACCGTGGAGTTCCTCACAGTATGTATTTTGAGTACTGACATTTAGTTACATTTTAACATCCAGGCTCTTTTCTGTTTTGTCTCCACTGACTCATTTTTAATTTTATTTTATTATATGTGTTTTTGTAAGCCACTTCACTTGGAACAAAGCAGAGAGTTTTTAACAAATGTTAAAATACCTCAGTCAGTGAAATAAACTGAAATTACTCCACTAAATCATTTAAAGTCACCTCTATTATATTGTAAGGAATTAAAACTGGTAATATATACAGCTTCTTTATCTCAATCTTCACAAATTTATTTTAAATTTTCACAATTAAGAAGAGGATCAAAGTAGAGGTAAAGGTCAGAAAAAAAGTCTTTGTGCTCCTAGCCTGCAAATATCTGGATATTTGAAAGATGGACCTATTTGTCTTTTGTTTTTTGAGCAAAGCGTTGTGTTGAGAAACAGGTTTTAGTGACTTTGGCTTGTGTCACTAAAGACAGTCCACTTACTGAAACTATCTTAAGGCTTAATGACTACCAGAAAGTTCCTTGACTCAACTGAAAAGATTATAAAGCATACAATGTGCTGATGAAAGAAGGGCCTTCAAAGTACCTTAAGAAGATCTTTAAAGATCACTAAAGTATCCTGTCTTGTTCCACAATGCTTTTAAGACAACCTACAACACAGCTAGTTTTTTAAGTGAGGAAATTAGGTAAAGGAAAATGAGGACGGAAGAAATCAGATGAAGCCACGGTGAAGGTAATAAATGATTCTGTGAAACTAACTGTAGCAGCTGATAGAGGCAGGCTCTGAGCTTCCTAAAATCTAACAAAATGTCAGTTCTGTGTTCAGTGTTCTGCTTTAGAGAAACACCATTATTCCTATTACAAAGACCTGAGAAAATGTCTCATGGATCCCAATATCAAGGATGTCAGACAAGAGGCCATATTTGGCTGTCCAGAGGATAGGTGGCAGGGTTTTAAAGAAAAAGAGGGAAGGGCTGTATGGAAAAGTTAATATAACCTTGACTACCTGGGATAAATTCATGGGATCTCACTCTCAGAAACAGCAAGTTACAAGAAAACACTGAAAAGAAATGTTTAATTCCATTTCTGGGATATGTGCGGGTACTCGTTCAGTTCAATCTCTGAAGCAATGACGATTGTACAGGATAACTACCTACAACATGTCATTGAAAGTGTTCAGTAGGGTTGAAACAAAAAATAAATGCTTTCTAGTTAACCAGTTCCCCAAGCATCCAATTAAAAACTCAGGTCTTCTCGTTGTTATGCAATTTAAAAGTGAAGAAGAAATGTTTCCAGTTTTTAAAAGTGAAGAAGGAATGCTTTTAATTACTAATAGCTTCCAAGAAGCAGGGCCAATAGCATGACCTGTAATCAAATGTCATAAGCAGATCAGTGTTTTAGCAAAAAAGAAAATCTCACAAACGAACGATGAAATAAGATACAGTGGTGGAGGTTCTGAAATGGAAAGGGTTATCAATAAATACTGAACACCAACTGTGAGAAAGGCAAAACGATCTTTGGTTTAGGTGATGGATGGTGGACAGTACACGTTTGTTCTGGTTATCACTACCTAAGGTTACCCAAAAACTCAGTGACTCAACAAGCACCATTTTGTTACATCTTGTGATTTGGTGGGCCAGGGCTCGGCTGGGTGATTCTTGTGCGGTACATGGTCTCCAACAAAGTCACTCAGTGGTATTCAGCTGGCAGCTGAGCAGATCTGGAAGGTCCGAGACACTTCCCTAACATGCCTGCGCACCCTGTAATGTTTTAAAAGTTTGGTGACGACTGAAATTTTTCTTCAGTTTAACAGTATAGTATGGAAATTGATTGAAGACTAAAACATGACCCACACACTGTGGCACTGAAGGCTCTAGAATGGTTACGTGGGCTCAATCAATAGTATTTAGGAAGTTCTACTCCTTACCTGCCTCCTTCCTAGTCAGCCCTCCTAAGGGAAGAGGAATTGTTAACCAGATTGAAGTGAGCCCAAGATATTCACTGGGTTTATGTTTACAAATGAACAGGGCTGCTGTATTAACCATATGCAGGCTCTCCTGCCCTATTAGGGGGCAGGCCTGTCATCCCTTCTTCCAAACAAGATGGGAAATTGGACTTGGGGATTTCCTGAGCCAGGCTTTCTCTATTAGAGGCAGGGGATGATGGATGCGAATAAGGGAACAGAGGCTGTTCCATCGCAGCGTAGCTGGGAGTCCTGCAGTCGGCGCTCTTCTAGCTGTTCTAAGTGGTACTTTCCTTCCCACTGGCTGTTCTTATGGTTACCACCTCCTGGGCAGGACTGCAAAGCAGGGACTGGTAGGCTTCAGGCACTAAAATCCTGACCCCAAACCCCATGCATTGTATTGAAATTCTGAGGTCTTGCTCACTAAAGGAAGAAAAGATGAAATATGGATATGAAAACTATGGTTAGACTTACTTCCAATTACCATATGAATTTTATCTATCATGCAGTGAAGAACACTATAAATGACTTTGAAAGGTGTTCCCTGACCTTTTTAAATGGTAGAAAAGAAACTGTGCATGTCGTCATCTATATGAAAAGAAATTTATGTCTGTGAAGTTTTGTTCAATCTCCCTCCTACATCTACTCCCTCACCCCCTACAACTCAGGGAAATTCAGAGGAGTAACATACTAAAAGAAGAGGACGAAAACTACATACATACTGTAATCAACTAGAATTTTCCTGTATCTTAAGGTTAGAGTATTACCAGTAAGGCTTTTTTCCTTAAATGTATGTATGTGTACACACTTTTATATATCTACACACACACTCCAAAATGGCAAACTATAAGACAGTTAGAAGAAGAAAAAAATCATAGCTTAATTCTGGAATGTAAAGCTCATCAAAACCTTGGCTAGTTTATCTGTAACATCTGCCTTTCCAGCCAAATCTGCCACTTCTCCCAATTTTCAGACGAGATCAGGCACGTTCAAGGTGGTATGGCCGTAGACTCCAATTTTCAACTGTTGACAGAAGGTTACTTCAGCAGCCTTGATCTGGAGGGAAGCGGGTGTCAGAGTGAGATGAAAGGCTATTAAAGACCTGGCCCAGGGCCTTTGCCCATGCCTGGGATGATCACAACTTCAGCCCTTTTTACATATTTCACCTGACAGCAGTCCTTTAGGGTTGCCTCTTGGTTGTTCCTTTGGTGAAATCATTATCCTGATTTAGCCAAAGGCATCTGAATCAAGATGACCTACAGTTCCTCAAGCTCAATCTTATCAATTCCAGTTACCCTCATTTCCACTCCCCCTTAGCAAAGCACCATCACAGCCTCAGACTCAAGATTCTGAACTCAGACTAACCCAGTCTGTCATCCTGTTAGCCTTCCCTCCAGTTCCCGCTAACCCAACCTTGGCTGCACTTTGGAACAACCAGAGGTGACTTCAAAAATACTGATGCCTGGGCCTCACCCCCAGAGACAGTGAACTCATGATCCCAAGCATTTCAGCCACGCTTATTCTCCCAATCCTCCACCCCCATCAGGATACATTTTCCTCCCAAATCAATCTGGCCCCAACAGGTCAGACATCCCAAAAATCCTTTGTATATCCCAGTAGTCTCCTTATTCTCTATCTTTTTTTTCTGTTACTGTCACCTGCCAATCTCAGCCAGGGAAGCACCCACTATTCTTATCTGTCCAGATTACTGGGATTTGGGGCAGTACCATGAAACTGTTGACTCTCAGGGGAGCTTTCACTGCTGCTCCACAATTCTTTCATTCAATTCTGATTACTTCCCACCAAATTCATTCATTCATTCATTCTGCAAGGCAACCAGTCACCACAAAATTGAGTCCTATGTATTATTTAAGCACCAGGGTACACCAGTGAAAAAGACATAGCCCCCATACCCAGGGAGCTCAAACAGCATACTTCCATCTCCCAGAGGCCCCCACCTCCCACTCCTATCTCAGGAGATTACTTCCTCTGCTACTTCACTCCACCCGCCACGGCCACTGAAGGCTGCCTTAATTCCTCGTGACCTCACCTGTTTAGAGAAACTACTCCCACATGCACCCCAACTGCTATATTCAATGGGGGCTTTTTTTCTCAATCTTCATCTTCTGACCAGGAAATGTTATTTGACACTACTGACCTTTCCTTCTTGAAGCTCCAGGTTCTCCTGGCTTCTGCAGGAAGATAAACTTTTCTGCTTCTCCTGTTTCTCTTCTCTTTTCCCTTGCTGAAGCTCCTACTCTGCCCACCACGTGTTTGTTTCCCATATGCTACTTCCCTGCCCCCTCCTTCATCTCCTTTGATGTGTTCTTCTTCCACCTTACCCTTGCCTGCTCTCGCATCTTCTGCTGTCTGACTTGCATATCTTGTCCTCCCTCTCTAGCTTCTGCTCGCACCTCTCTGCAGAAGCCTCCAACGTCTGCCTTCTTCCATCTCCACACTCCTGCTCCAGCTGCACACTTGCAATTAACTGTGCAATGCTCCCATCCAAGTGTCATGAGGTCCTCTCGAAACTCCACATGTCCAGAACCAGACACATCATCTTGGTGACAGGATTAAATAAGTGCTTAGCACGTAACAGGCACTCAAAGGGAAGCTACTGTTTCCCTGTTCTCCATCCTCCCCATCGGGGAAGTCCTCCTAAAATACTTTTAATGATGCCTTTCTGCTTTTTAGCTTCTATGGCCCACTGCTGCCTAACACAATACACGGAAACCCCTACATTCACGACCCTCTATAAAACACCACCACCACCGGTTGATATTCACTGCTCCCCGGCTCATGCCCCAAACTTCACTTGTGCCGTCATTTGCCTGTTTCTTTCCACTCTGGATTGCAGGAAACTCCATTTCCCAGATTCTCGCCAACTGACTTCCTGGTGAGACGTGACCTAAGACTGGAGGGCAGGAGAAGGGGAGAAGTCAGAGTATTTCTCTCCCTCTCCGCCTTGGGTTGGGTTGCGGCTCTGCCATGTCCCAGCTCCAGCAGCAGCGCCCGGTCACTGGATGGCCCAGGCTCTGAGTTCTGGTAACACCATCGACTCCCATGGTCCCTCTGGCACTAAAGGTGGAACAGGTTTCCTACTGTTGCAATCTCTGGGTTACCTGCACTCTCAGCATTCCCATCACCTGGGTCACAATTCCCTACATAATTCTCTAGTGATGTGTTTTTCTGCCTGAACCCGACTGATACATTTCAGCCAAACTAGTTGACGCTGAGTGTTAGTCCACATAACACGGAGTTCTACGCACACCAGCTACTGTGCCAGATACAGCGCGTTTCACTTTTTATGTCTTTGTTCATATGGTTAACTCCACCTAAAATATTTTCCTTGCCTCCATCCCATGTAAGAAAACACCACTGACCTTTCAAGCCTATTCAGAAACCAGTATTTTCAGTATCTACCTGTGCAAGGCACTGTGCTAGGTGCTGGGGGTGCCCAGGGGAGGAATGAGGTCATCCCAGGCAACACAGAGCTCATGGTCTACATTTCATCATAAAATTTTGTTTCAAATTTTCTCCACTTATATGTACACGCTTGAAATTCTCATTTGACTGTGCTTTTTACTTTATTTGTATTTAACAAATGCCTACACAGCACTTACTAAGTGCCGGGCACTGTTCTAAGGACTTACAAATACAACTTAGTTTATGCAAACATTATGTATTATGTACATAAGAAATGTATCACATACATATATAACAATTTAGTCCAGAAACTGCTGGACTTTCCCTCTTTCTTTTACAGTCATAGAACACATGATTTTTAACTGGGAAAGTGGCCACCTAAAAAAGAAAAAAGCTCTGATTCCCCCATTTCCACAGGAAGGGAGTGAAAGTGGTCTGTGCAACTTCTGGGCAGTATCCTTCAAAGAGGGGTGAGCTTGGAGCGGGGCTCTGTCCCTTTCTCTTCTCCCCAATAACTAACTGTGTTGACCTGATGGCAGGGGCAAGAGCAATCATCTTGGAACATGAGGTGGAAGCTGCATTTGGAGGATGGAAGAATAAGAAGGAGCCTAGGTCTCTCATGATCAAGTAGCTGCCACTCCGTGGACTGTCACATGAGAGAGAAACACACTTCTCTCTTGCCAAAGTCAGTCAGTTTGAGTTTCCTGTCACTCATAGCCCAAACCAATCCTATTTAATGGAATCGCCAATTCACAGCTCCCTGTCCCTCACTAGGCTGCACTCTTCAAGAAAATGCACTCTATTCCCACTCATCCTTGTATTCCCCTCCAACATGGTTCCCTGCACAAAGCCAGAACTCAAAAAATATATAACAAATTGAGGGGGCCGGCCTGGTTGTGTAGTGGTTAAGTTCGTGGGCTCCACTTTGGCAGCCCAGGGTTTGCAGGTTCAGATCCCGGGTATGGACCTAGCACCACTTGTCAAGCAATGCTGTGGCAGCATCCCACATAAAAAAAAAGAAATAGAGGACAGGCACAGATGTTAGCTCAGGGCCAATCTTCCTCAAGCAAAACAAGGAAGATTGGCAACAGATGTTAGCTCAGGGCCAATCTTCCTCAAACACAAAAAAAGAAAAAAATATATATACCTCAAATTGAAGGTGAATGAAGTTATAAAATATTTTTTAAATGCTGATAAATGTAGAAAGCCCTAGATTAGGAGAAAGCTGGAATGAAACCACTCCTGGTCTTCAGGGTCTGTATTGGGCATAAGTGGTAATAAGATGGGAGTGTCTCCACCCTTCGGGGTAGCTCCCACTTTGTCAACACCTTCCTGGAACCCTGGCTGTGTGAGGTAGAGCTGTAAAAGAGCACAGAGGAAACAGCTCCTCAAACAGGAGCACCTTCAATTCGCCCTTCTCCACCTTCATGCTTTTACCTCTGCCCTCTTCCTACCTGCCTCAGAAGAGCAGGCACTTTCCCATCATTTCTACGCTAATCCTTTCACCTTGCTCCCAGAACATCTTTGCACCTTAATTTTCTCATCTGTAAAATGGGGATAACTCATACTTCTCAGGATTTGGGGGACAATTAAATGGCAAGGGTTAAATAAAGTGGCTGGCATAAAGCAGGTGTTTAGAAAAACGTGAGATGCTTCCTTTTTCCTCCTGCCTCCCTTCTCCTCTAGGAGAAACGGCTCCATCAGTTCTTGGAGATAACACTTTCTCCTGGTTTTCTTCCTACCTCTCTGGCTACCCTTTCTTGGTCTCTGAAGAACTCTTTCTTTGCCTGTCCTTCAAATGTCTGTCCTCTGGATTTTGTCCTCAGCCCTCATCTCCTCCTGCTCTACACTCTCCTGCACAGTCTCATCGACCCAGAGCTTTACGTGCCATCTGTAAGTCAATGAATTTAAAATGTCAAGCCTGGACTGGTCAGCGGACCTAGACTGGTCTCCCGAGCTCCAGACCTTCTCTTCTCTCCTTTCCCTCTCGCCCTGCATACCACCCTCCTTAGGTCTTCCATTCAATAAATATTTACTGAGAGTTTGCTATGTCCTTGGCACTGTACATCCAACTGCCAACAGCACCTCTTCTCCAGGACGTTCCGGAGACCTCAAAGTCAACATATGCAAATCTGAACTTATTTTTCTCCCCAAACCCTCTTCTCTCTCCTTCGTTGTCCCAGTGACTACTTCAGCATCCACCGTTTGCCCTAATTAGAAACAGGATTCTTAAAAAGCTTCTGCAAGGCAAAGGAAACCATGAACAAAACGAAAAGACAACCCACCAACTGGGAGAAAATATTTGCAAATCATATATCCAACAAGGGATTAATCTCCAAAATATATAAAGAACTCAGACAAGTCAATAACAACAACAAAAAAACAACCCGATCAAAAAATGGGCAGAGGATATAAAGAAGTTATACAGATGGCCAACAGACACTTGAAAAAATGTTAAACATCACTAATTATTAGGGAATGCAAATCAAAACTACGAGATATCACCTTACACCTGTCAGAATGGCTATTATTACCAAGACAAAAAACAACAAATGTTGAAGAGGATGTGAAGAAAAGGGAACCCTCACACACTGCTGGTGGGAATGCAAAGTGGTGCAGCCACTGTGGAAAACAGTATGGAGATTTCTCAAAAAATTTTAAAAATTCTAAAAATAGAAATACCATATGACCCAGCTATTCCACTACTGTGTATTTATGCAAAGAACTTGAAAGCAACAATTCAAAGAGACTTATGTACCCCTATGTTCATTGCAGCATTATCCACAATAGCCTAGACATGGAAACAACCCAAGTGCCCATCGACTGATGACTGGATAAAGATGATGTGGTATATATATACAGGGGAATACTACTCAGCCATAAAAAAGACAAAACTGTCCCGTTTGCAACAACATGGATGGCCCTTGAGGGTATGATGTTAAGTGAAATAAGCCAGAGGAAGACAAACACTGTATGATTTCACTCATATGTGGAGGATAAACAAACACATGGATAAAGAGAACAGATTAGTGGTTACCAGAGGGGAAGGAGGTGGGGGGGCTGGTCGAAAGGGGTAAAGGGGTACATATGTATAGTGAAAGATAAAAATTAGACTATTGCTGGTGAGCACGATGCAGTCTATACAGAAACTGAAACGTAATAATGTACACCTGAAATTACACAGTTATAAATCATTATGACCTCAATAAAATAATTGAAAAAAAATGGCAGTCTTTTCTGACTGTTCCCTCCCTCTCTGTATGTCCCTTCATTCGTCATGTCCCATCAATTTGGCCTCCCTTGTTCTCCCTCCAGTTGGTATACCGATCCCTCTCCCCAACCACCTCCCTGGTTCCAGCCCTCACCGTTTTCTTACCTAGGTGACTCTAACTGCCTTCCAGCCTCCAGTCCTGTGCTACTCCAGCCGGATGCACACTGCAGCCAGAGAGGTGACACGAAACACACATCTAATCACCCTGCTTCCACCGAGAAGCTATTCCGTGGTTTCCCATCGCCTTTTGGGTAAAGTCCGCGTGGAGTAAAGATCTTCAGGCACGCCCCGCTGGAACGCTCTGCAGAGAGAGACCCAGTGGACAGGCTTCTCCACTCCGAGTGGAAAGAGCTGCGAAAGGGGCTGCGTCTGGCTGACATCCAGCAGAGGGCGGAGTGGGGGGGGGTCAGTAAACGTCAGACGGAGGTCGGAAAATCTTTGATGGATTAGCAGTATCAGGGCTGCCTATCCAAAAGTGGCCTAAGAACCAGCACAAAATGCTTTCTTCTCCTTCATCATTACCTTTAGGAATTTTTGTTTTGCTTTACCTTTTTAAAAATTAACTTTTTTATTACAAGGATAAGATAAGCTTATAAGGAAAAAAAGCCAACATTACGAGATAGAATGTAAAACGGTAAGTCCCCTCCCTTCGTACGACCGCCTCTCCTGCCCCAGCACTGTTAACTGTATATCCTTCCAGAAATTTCCTACGCACACACAATCACAGTAACACACGTTATTACTATTATTAATAGCATTATTTAACACAAATGGAATCATGTTAAACATACTCATTTGCACATCACCTTTTTTCATATAACCTTGGACATTTTTCCATAGTAACATATATAGATCTTCCTCATTTTTAAAGGTCTGCATTGTATTCAATTAATGATTCTACCACACTTTCCTCAAACAGATCATTATTAATATAGACTTCTAGGTTATTTCCAGTTTGGGGCCATTCTAAACAATGCTGCATTTACGGCAGATAAATATCAATCTTTCTAAATTGGCAAAATATTAAAATAAATATACAACACAACCAAGTGAGATACATTTCAGGAATGTAAGGAGGGTTGAATATTAGAAAATCTGTTAATATATTGCACAATATTAACAGATCAAAGAGAAAAATATCCACAGATTCCTGACAAATAGAGACAGACATTTTCTTACTGTGATAACCGTGTGAATGTGTGCACGTGTGTGTGCACCCACCCCAGAAGCTGGCTCAGGGGAGAAACATTCCTCAAATGATCAAGAAGAAGAAGAGTCAGTTCACTATCACCAATTTCATGAAAAATTGTTCAACATTTTCTGGAGACAATAGCTGATGCTGTTACAAGAGAAACAATATGAGGCGTAAAAATTAGAAAGGAGAAGGTAGAATTATCATTATTTGTGGATGATATATTTCCAGAAAGCACAACTTAGTCAACTGAAAAACTATTTTTCCTCTTTTAAAATTGAGATATAATTCACATATCTTACCATCCACCCCTTTAAAAAGTGTACAATTCAGCGGGTTTTTGTAAATTCAGAGTTGTGCAATTATCACCACTAATTCCAGAACATTTTTATCACCCCAAGAAACACCCCATCTCCATTAGCACTCACTTCATTCCCTTACCCCCAGCACCTGGCAACCACTCATCTACTTTCTGTGTCTATGGATTTGCCTATAGTGGATATTTAATATAAATGGAGTCATACAATATTTGGTCTTTTGCAACTGGCTTTTTACACAAGAAGAACATTGGCATAATGTTTTTAAAGTTTATCCATGTTGCAACATGAATCAGTACTTCATTCTTTTTTATTGCTGAATAATAGGATAATATTCCATTATAAGGATACACCACATTGTGCTTATCCATTCATCAGCTGATGGACATTTGCACTGTGTCTACTTGTTGCCTATTAAAGAAGAATGCTACGAACAATCATGTACAAGTTTTTGTTTGGAAATATTATTTTAATTCTCTTGGGTATATACCCAGGAGTGGAATTGCTGGGTCATATGGTAACTCCATTTTTAACTTTTTGTGTGTGTGTGTTTTTTGTTGTTGTTTTTTATTTTTTATTTATTTTTTATTTTTTTGAGGAACATTAGCCCTGAGCTAACATCTGCTGCCAATCCTCCTCTTTTTGCTGAGGAAGACTGGCCCTGAGCTAACATCCATGCCCATCTTCTACTTTATATGTGGGACGCCTACCACAGTATGGCTTGCCAAGTGGTGCCATGTCCGCATCCAGGATCCGAACTGGAGAACCCCAGGCCTCCAAAGTGGAATGTTCGAACTTAACCGCTGCACCACCAGGCCGGCCTCTCTATTTTTAACTTTTTGAGGAATTGCCAAACTATTTTCCAAGAGACTGTACCATTTTACATCCCCACTGGAAACATCTGAGGGTTCCAATTTCTCCACGTCCTTGCCAACACTTGCTACTGTCTGGTTTTTGTGGGGGTTTTTTTACTATAGCCATCCTAATGGGTGTGAGGTGGTATCTCATTGTGGTCTTGAATTGAAAAACTATTTTAAATAATAAGATAGTCCAATAAGATGGCTGGATATAAAAATTATTTAAAATATCAAAAGCCTTCATTTACACAAACCAGAACCAATTAGAAAATGTAATGGAAGAAAAGATCCCAATAACAAGAAAAACTATCAAGGAATAAAGTTAACAAAAAATCAAGATACATGTAAAGAAAACTTTAATACCCTCCTGAAGAGCACAGAAGGAGGACTGAACAAATGGAAAGGCATAGGCGTTCTTAAAAAAAATAATTTCCCCTGCTACTCTTAAGTAGGAAGACTCAACATCATACTTAGTTCAATTCTCCCTGTGTTAATCTATAAATAACATGACTTCAACAGAAATACTTCCTAAGATTAGAGCCAGACTAGTTATCACTAAAGCTCCCATTGAAAAAACAATACAGAATTATGGTTTTACCCACAGACCCAGATTTCCTGGGTTCCCATCCTGCTTATTACTAGCTGTGTGTTCTTGAATAAGTTACTTAACCTCTCTGTGTCTCAGATGCCTCTTCCATGAAAGGGGATAATAATGGAGATCAAAGGTATTAAAATGCATAATGCACTTAGAATAATACCTGGTATATAGCAAATGCAAAATAAGTGCAAATTATTAACGTTATGCAGGAAAAATAATTCAAGAATAGGTGGTAAGAAAATCTTTAAAAAAAAGAGTTATCAGGGAGGACTGGCCCCATTAGATATTAAAACAGCACTGTTCTGGTGAATCAGAAGTAAGACAGATCAGCGGAAGAGAATGGAGGATCCAGAAGCCCAAATGCAGACAGGAATTTAGAAAATTATAAAGGTGGCATTTCAAATTAATGTAGAAAAGGAGAGGTGTTCATTACCAGTGATTCTTGGACAAGACTCCCCTTCCATTCCTGATACAAAAATACACTCCAGATGAAGTAAAGATTTAAGTATAAAAAGAAAATCATAAAAGCACTACAATAAAACATGATGAAATTATTTAATGATCTCAGTGCAGTATAACCCCAAACCTAGAAGCCATAAAACAAAGGATTGATAAATCCAAATATATGAATTTATGTAACACAAAAAAATAAAATAAAATACCATAAACAAAATCAAAAAGACATATAAACTGGGAAAGAATAATTATAACACATATCACAAATGAAGGGATGGTTTCCTTAATATGTAAAGAACTCCTACAAACCAATAAGGAAACGACCCACAATGCAATAGAAAAATGAGCAAAACTCAAGAACAGATAAATCACAAAAAGGAAATACTAATTATCCTATGTATGAAAAGCTGCTCAGCTTCACTCATAATAAAAGACACGAACTGAAACTAAAACTAGAAACCATTTTTCACCTGTTTGATAACATGTGGGCTGTTGGGAAATGGGCATTCTCACACATTGCTGGTGAGACGAAAATGGTACAATCTCTACGACAATTTGGCAACATCCATCAAAAAATGCACAAACCTCTGACCCAGAAATTCAACTTCCTAGCACTCCACCCTACAGATATACTTACACTCGTGGACAATAATGTAAGAACAAGGCCGTTCTCTGAAGCACTGTTTCCAACAGGAAAATAGTGAACACTTAAATGTCCAGCTAGTGAGGGCTGTTAAATCATTATGATACATACATACAATGGAATAAGGCAGCTCCCCTTGCGTGAATAAGTGAAAGAGCAAGTACATGCAGCATACTACCAACTGTGTATCACGTATATCAATAACACCAATAAACATATACAGAGAGAGACAGATATAAAAACGCCATGTGCATAAAATAAATCTGAAAATACTTCCAAGAAACCATTTTCACTAATGGCTTATAGAGAGAACTGCAAGGCAAGGCTGGGATAAAGGAACAAGGATGTTTATTTTTCCCTATACCTTTTTTTGACAGTTTTGGATTTTGTCTTTTTTGCATGAATTGTTTGCTTGTTTGCTACAATGAATTTTAAATTTTTCATTCATTCATTGAAATATTCGCATTTAGTGAGGTGGAACCCTAATCGTGTGCAAAGTTATGAGTTGGCAGGGGAAGAGGTACAAGATAGCAGCAATCCCTGCCCGAAAGAGCTGACAGACAGAGTGGACCTCGGACCTCTTTGCACTGGCATCATGGGGGAGGGGAGGGGACGTCCTTATCAGAAATAAAGATTCCTGGGCCCCACCCCGATCGACGGACTTAAGAGTCCCGGAGCGACGCCCAGAAATCTGCATTTATGACGGGATCCCCCTGGGGATTCCGGGACGTGACAAATTTGAAGCCTTCTGAGCCGGCGGGGCAGTCGGCCGGCACAGCGCAGCCCCGGTCGCGCTGTGGGCCAGGGGGTGTCACCCTCGTGAGCTGGACAGCTCTCCCGGAGCACCCGAGACCCAGGCCCTCCTACCCTCACCCCGCCGGCCGGGGCCGCCAACCCAGGCCCGGAGCCCCGCAGCTGGGGGAGCGGCACCGGCGCGATCAGCTGGAGGGGAAAGGGCCGCAGGAGCCGAACGTAGTGGAGAGAAGGGGGCAGGGAACCAGGAGCGAATTACACCGTTTAGGAAAAAGAGGAGGAGGGAAATGATGAGGATAGAAAGCAAATCACGGGGGAAAAAACTGCGACTCCGCCGGGACTCGAACCCGGAACCTTTGAATGCCTTCAGCCTCTAGAAGTCCAATGCGCTATCCATTGCGCCACGGAGCCACCTGTTGGAGCCTCCGCGCATCTGCCATATTAAGCCAGAGGCAACAGCCCTGCGCCCTTCCCACCGCCTCCTGAGTCGTCCGTCTGTGCCGCCGAGGCCAGGGCACCACCAGCCCGGGTAGCCGCCACGAAACGTGGGCCGCAGGAGCCCGTCCTCTCCCGGCGGCCACCTCCCAACGAGGTCGGCGAGCCCTGCGAGCGAAGGGCGCCTGCGAGTCTGCCGGGTCCGCGCCGGCCGGTGGTCTCCGGCCCACCCAGGCCGCCGTACCGGGCCGCGCAGGACAAATCACGCCCGCACGCTTCCTCCCCGGCGCCCCTGCTGCCCCGAGCGCCCCCGCCTCCCGGGTCTCTCCGGCGGCCCGGCCCCCGGCCCCCGCCCCGGCGACGCAGGCCCCAGGCCGGCCGTTGCGCCGTTAGGCCGGGCCGGGAACGCCGGGCACTTACGTCGCACCTTTTGGCGGCCGATCCCGAGCGGCGGCCCCTCCCGGGCCCCGGGCTCTTCCCTGGCCGCCCGCAGACAGGCCCCGGCGCCGCGAGCGCGGGCCGGGCGACGTCTGTGTGCGTGCTTGTGCGTGTTTATTTGCGCGGGCTTGGGTAAAACGGGGTTTGGGTTGCATTTCGCTCCCCACAGACCCAGAGCCGAATTTCGGAGGTATCCGGGCTCTGGTGGACTGCGGGGGGCGACGCGCCCCGGCTGCAGCATCCTCCGAGAGCTCGGCTCGCCGCCAAGAGCTCGTCCGTGGGCGCCGCGCAGCGGCCCGAGCCCGCGCTCCCGGAGCACGCGGCTGCGTGGCGGCCGCCGGCGGGGGCACCGCGCGCGTGTGGGCGCCGGGAGCGTGCGTGAGCGGCCGCGGGCGCGGACGGCGGGGCCGCGCGCCCGAGCGGCCGCAGGGGTTCCCGGCGGCGGGCGGAGGATGCCCAGCCAGAAGCTGCTCAGACTGGCGCGGTCGCCAGGAGTCCGAGGAGTGGTTTGGGGGCGGGGGTCTTCAGTGCCCCGGTAATCCCCATCATCGCGACCCCAAGCCACTTGAAATAGACAATCGGAATAAAACCCGCGTGGTTGCCATGCAACCACCGCTGCAAGACAAAACCTCTGGCCTCCCGTTCCAATCAACTTGGCACTTTCCGAGCCCCGCCTACGTAGAAATTGCGGAGCCACCGCGGGGCACACTTTTCAAGCTGGTGCACAGCGGCCTTCTGCACCAGGCCAGGGTCAGCCACAGCCCGGCCTGTGGTCCACTCCGTTCCTCCCTGCCTAGCATCGTCAGACGTCAAAGCAAAGCAGCCTCCGTCGGTGCTCTGAAGAGGAAAAGGAAGCTCCCAGGAAGGTTCTAGTGCAGTAGGGATCTTTACATTCTTATTTAATTCCACAACAATGCTATGAGGCAGGTACTATTGTCCCCTTTATAAAGAAAGAAAACTGCTGCTAAAAGAGGTTAAATAAATTGTGTAGGGACACCCAGTTAATAAGAGTAAAGAACTGTGAAGAATCTGAGATTTTACCCTATTTGCAGGCTAACATAGCTTGTCACAATTTCATGGATGCTCACAGAACACACAAGACTACTAGATCAGAGATGAAAGACTCTTACAGCAAATGCAGTAGCCAGAGTGTCAACATGTTTTTGTTGGTTCCCTGAACCCCAATTCTCACAGGACTGAAGTTGATGGATCCAGATGGATGCTTGCACTCAAAATGGGTTCCATTACAGGAGAGGAATGCTAAGCTTGGGGAACCCACCATTTTATAGCAAGAAGCAAGCAAACCTGCTCTTTGTCCCATAGAGAGATGGTCCCTCATCCTTCAAGGGTGCTCCCCGCAAACACAAC